GAAATCATTGCTCATATATATATATATATATATATATATATATAGAGGAAAGGTTTCTATACTTCCCCCTACAACATAAAAGATATATGCTTCCCCTTCGATCCAGCCGTCCAATTTAGATCAAGTGAGCCACACACCGTTTGATTTAGATCCAACGCCTCAGAGTATTTTATTGTTTATCTTTTTTTACAAATTGTACGAATATGAAATTTCGTACGTATCATCTTCTCAATGAGACGCACCTACGAAAAATATTTTAAAAAAGTTTTTGATAAAATATAATGACCAAAATATCCCTTGAAAATTTCAAGGGTATTTTAGTCATTTTATTTTATTGGTAATATTTTTTTATACTTTTCACAAGTGCGAGTTTAAGAGATGAGTGGATGCCCAAATTTTCATGTTAAAATAATTTTTAGAAAAAAATTAAAAATAAAATAGTGTAGTGACGTGATATTGTGATTAAGACCATCTCAGCCGTCCATTCAAAATGGATGGTTGGATAAAGGGAAGCATATAAGTTTTATGTTATAGGGGAAGCATAGAGCACCTTTTTAATAAGAGAATTTTGGGCCAATAGGAGGGATGTGACATCATCCACATGGGTTGTGACATCACCCACATGGAACACATGAGTACCATTTAATGCCCCATGTGGGTGATGTCACACCCCATGTAAATGATGCTACACTCTTCCTAATGATCAAAAATACCCTTAGTAAAAAATATTGTATTACAAAATAAGATATACAAGTGTCCAAAATTTGTTGAGTACAATTATAAAATGCTCTATAGAGTGATCATACTAACATAAATATATATATATATATATATGGAAAAACATAGGGTGCGCAGCCTAGCTTAGATAAGCTAAATACACCAACGGCCTAGATTGAATCTGGGCTGCTTTGACGATTACGGGTCGGTAGTATTTTAATTTTAATTTTAATTTTTTTCTTACAAATCCAAATCACTTGAAATTTTAGGTGCGTGTTCATCAAAAATAGGTGAATATTTGAAAAATATTAAAAAAATATTTTACATGAAAGGAATTGACCAAAATACCCCTGTAAAGTTTTAGGGGTATTTTGGTCAATTTTGTTTTTGCGAAAAATTTTGTTTATATTTTTATTAGGTGCGCATTGATGAGAATAACATACACCTAGAATTTCAAGTGATTTGGATATGTAGAAAAAAATTAAAATTCAAACACTATCGGACATCTGTGATCGTTAGATCGGCTCAGATTCAATCTGGGCCGTTGGTGCAT